ACCGTTGGGTTCTATACCATCTCTTTAAAACAAACCAAGTACAAAAACTTTTCTTGTATCAGACCAGAATGGAGGGATTTTCTTTCTTTAGATGTCTGACTTTCCCACAAGGGGTTTCCACCTTGGGCAGCCCTGTTCTATAACATCAGCCGTAGTTCATCAGAGCTTACTGTAGGTTAGAGAGGGACATTGAGATATGGCGGATAGAAAATAGAGGCTGAGGAAGGATTTGCTCACCTGCCTGACATACCTGAGAGACAGTAAACAGATAAGTTTGGATATCTATCACTTGGAGGCTCTTGCCTGTCTGCTCGTTTGCCAGTACGTTTAATCCATCTATGTGTCGCATTACAGCACTGGTCTGAAGTCCGCTATACAATCTTGTGCACATCATTACTGCGTTATCTAAGGCAGGATTCCACTGCACTGCGTATCTACTGTAGGAAGGGATGAATGAGAGTATTGGCAAAAGGGTGAAAAAGAGATGGAATTTGAATTCTGCAAGTGGACACACACAAAACAAAATCTGTATAAAGCAAACTTTAACAAAGTTATACACTGCCAAGGTCATGAAACTAAGTGCATATAATATCTTTAAACGTTGAATAAATACATTCGTGTGAGGCAAATGTACACCGTCAATCAATGCCATAGAAAGTTAGCAGGGGAGCACCGAAGAACCTCCAAAACAGGAATTTGAGATAGAAAAAAGATTGCAGCGAAAGAGAGGCTGAGGAATACAAGCGAGTCCAAGAACGGAAGAAAACCGAGGTCGTGGTCAGGGGCAGTTTACGGAACCGTAGGTGATGGTGTTTGATATAATCACAGCGGCACTGACAGAGAGACCAACTCCCAGTGGGGGATGTGAGGGTCAGGCAGCTGTGGGAGGGGGGGGAGCTGTGTGAGTGTTGTTCTTTAAGTCATGGCAGGTCTCACAGCTGCTCAGACAGCAGCTCTGTATGCCACAGATGCACACTTGGCAAAACATTGTGAGCGGGGGCTTTCTTTATGGAGGACTACCTGTCGCGTTTAGGGAATGTGAAAAACACTTCTCAGTGTGCTGCGGCCTCGCTCTATCATCTCATCCAATAATGGATTTGGGTTGTGGCCCATCTGCTGTTCTATCAAAACATTATTTCTGCTGATAGTCGTCGCTCTTTGTATCCAGTCTTTGCTGCTGGCTGCCTGAGCGTGTGGATGCTGTAAATCTGGCCAGCTCATTAGCGCTGACAGAGGGAATGCTAGCCGCCCACCTGCTCCCCTTCACCCTCTTTATGGCTCTACAAATTAAAACGACATTTACACACACTCTCCCCCGCTCTCCCTACTGCACTGCTCACCTTGCCACTCACATTGCTTTGTCTGTTCAGTGCTGCTCGGGCCCACCTCAGAATACCTCCTACTTTAAGTATTCTTCTGTTTCCCCAACACTTAAGCACCTCGTGTGATAAATCTGATTATTTGAAATCCTTCTGTCAATACTGACTCCTTCATCCACTCTGTCATCCTTCACGTCCATCACTTTCTTCCCATCTTTTTCTTTGCGTACTAAAGTTCAACAGCGCTGTCTCATAGTGGTGATGGAACTCTAACCCCCCAGTTACTGAGGCATGCCCAATGAGTGACAGCATGATGAAGCGATGTCGCAGCATGTTTGCTTTGCCCGCTAGAGGTCAGTGAGGGTCACGGAAGTAATGAGGCCATAAAAATGCAGGCAACGAAAGTTGTGGGGGAAGTAAGATAAGATGGAGAAAAGGGTACAGGAAGGAGAACTGAGGTACAGTGAAGAAGAAACTGACTCTTGCATGAATGCAGCTCCCAAAACTGGAACAGACTTAAAACGGAAGAGGTGAAGGGCTTAATAAAGAGCTCTCCGTGCACAGATTGGACTGTGTGCTGCATTGTTATCGCAACACATAGTCGACAACATATGAATGAATTTGCTGTGTCTCATTTATCAAGCAGGGCGAACAAGCCAGTTCAATGAGATTTGTGATAAAACATATTCCGCTTGCATCACACTGCGCTCACATACACAAGGTTTGCATGTGTTATTTTGACTAAGTTATGCCTCACTGTTACAGGTTTTGGCTATTTCCAATGGAAAGAAATGCTGATGAATAAAGACTCACGGGTGTCACAGATGTTGTTGTCTGATGCTTTAAGGATTCTAATCAATTAATGAGATGACTTGTTGTTGTAAATATGTGCTATACAAATAAAATTGAATTGAATTGAATTGATTACCTGTCATGGAAAAACTGCTATGACTCCTGAACTTAAAAAAATAAAACATGAAATACTTAAAGGCTGGTTGGGAATTTTATCTTTTTTTAATAAAGAAAAAGTCTTTGTCCAACAAAGTGAAATACAACAATGGCACCTTATTTGTGACAGTTTCTAATAGGTTGAGAGGATTCAATGGAAATCAAAGTGTTCAATTTATACATTGAAAAAGGAGCTTCTTTGGATTGGAACTACAAACCTCATAAGTTCCTGAGGTGTCACACACACATTTACTAAGATGAAAGAAAAAAACAAAATAATGACCATATAAGTAACTGATTAGGAATTATTGATTAGCATATAAATAAATAATAACCTATGAGCTTACAACTGAGTTCATTAAACCAACAAGCTGCCAATGACTACAGCAACCAAAAATCAGAAATCAAAATTGAGCAACTAAAGAGAAGAAATGCAGTTTTCCCACAAAAAACAAGCTCAGGCTTCCAGATAAAAACAGGCTCCAGAAGTCTTCCAATAAACTGGCCTATTCAAGGTCAGTTGGTGTGCTTCTGATGAAGTACCAGTAGCCAGATTGTGATTCCGGACAGAACCCCAGGTATGTCACAGAATAAGCTGCCATAACTCTTATGACCTCAAAAAATAAAACACTAAACACTGACAGGTTGCCTGGTAATATTATCTACTGCAGTGGGGGGAAAAGGAAGAATGTTTCCAGCATCTTTCTTAAATGGAAATACAGGAGTGACAGCTTATTCATGGTGTGGCAGTGAACAGAGAAGTCTTCTTCCAACTGTCGATTCATAAATGATTCAACAATTTAACCGATGAAATTCTTCTTGATCACTTTAGAAACTAAGTGTTGAACTTACTTGTGAGTAAATATATAACTGATTATGACTCAAATATTAACCTATAGATAAATGATAACTAATGAGCTTACAAATGAATTTGTCGTTGCATTCCTCTGCCTTATCATTAAAACTAATAATCTGAAGAGATAAAAATGCAGTTTCCCAGAAGAGAACAACCTCATTAAACATTTCTTTAACCAGGCTTCAGAAATTCTCCAGTAAACTAGCTTGTCCGAGGTCAGTTTGTGCTATTCCGATGGAATAGGAATAGCTAGTTAGTTTATGATCCCAGACATGCCTAGATATGTTGCAGAACAGCTACTATAGCATCTCTGACCTTAAAAAATAAAACACTGACAGCCTGCTTGGTAATTGCAATACGAGGAATTGCAGAAATTGTGCAGCATCTGTCTCAAATAGATTATTGAGAAGAATAGCAGCAGCTTATTTAGAGGTATGAACACAAAATTCCAAAATTCTATTGCCTTATTACAAACAGTTCAACAAGTTTAACCTGTGGAAATCTTCTTGACGGCATCAGTCTGCATCCCATATATTCACAAAGGAGCTTCTTCAGACTGGAATTTCATCACTCACAAGAGCCTGAAGTCTCTATTTTTGACCCTACCTATCTTACACACACATGTGCCTAGCTGGAAGCAGTGGTTAGCTCTGATCAGCATTTTCTAAAAATGAGCAAACATTTACGTAACTGATTATGAGTAGATTATTAACATATAAATGGATGATCCACCTTTGAGCTTAAAACTCAGTTTGTTTTCACAGAACACATTCCATAGCTTCGAATAAAAAAGCGGAAATTCTATAATCGCTGGGAAGGTAGGATTGACACAAGCAGTGATGCAAGGGAACTAACAGTATGTGAGCGACGAGGGTCAAACACAGTCATATTTAATGGCTTTCTCCAGGCTAAAATGAAGCCTATTGTTTGCAAGCTTGGAAAGTCTGCATGTGGACTCTGAGTGAGTCCCACACAACTGATTGTTGCAATGGCCTGAGAGAATCTTCCCTGGTGGGTGATCTAAACAGCCTCTTCTAAACAGTCCTTATTTCTCCCATTTATTTGCCTGACTTTATGGATTGGAGAGAGAAAAAGCCAGTGGCTTTGAAGATTTGGCGAAGACTCAGAAAGGAGTATGTGCTCAATATAAACACAACAAGACATGTGGATGTGTGTGTGTGTGTGTGTGTGTGTGTGTGGATTTCATCCCCTGTTTGAAGTCCTCCACTCCACTCTAGCAATTACTTCATATCAAGGATTAGATGAGGGAGAGGGCATAGAGGAGACACAAAGATGGAAAGAAGTGAGAGCTGAGAAGGGAGGTAGCAGATTCAGAGAGAGGACAGAGAAGCGAGAGAACCTGAGAGGAGAATAGAGATTGAGGTCCCCGCTGCAGAGAGTGATTTTCTTGTCTATAAAGGCGGCTATATGCACACTCTCTAAACATGAGCTAGAAGACAACTCCCCAAATCGTGGCAAGATCACAGGTGCAGCAAAACGAAGCTATTTCCAGCATAGCAGCGACCAAAATGCACTATGAATAGTTGATGACCGCCATAAATTTGATGGAGCTGACATGCAGTTACAAGTGTTACAGCAGTCGTAACACTGAGGTGAATTTCACACGTGTTTTCTTACTGTTTCTTAAAATTTAGGAGCAAAAACGGTTTGCAGGAGCTATTTCTCAGGGAAACATTCACCAATTTTTCTGGTGGCATTAATGTTTTGATCTTCATAAAAAGACAAATACAACTTTCCTACAGATGATGACTTTTCATTTTACGTGTATCTTCTGCAGGTGTATGCTGTTTTTGCCATTTGATAAAAGTGAATAGACAATTTGGAAGCAATACATTTTTAAGTTCTATCATCCTTACCTCTGGAATGTTGACTGTGTAGGGCTGCCCGTGGAAGTTTGGTGCATTATCATTCACATCTCCAATCTGGATGTTTACTGTGTCTTTGACCACCTGAGGGAGGAAACACCTTGGTAAAACAGTTCCAAAGCCTCCTCCACACATTCCTTGACAAAGAGCTATAGTTCCAAACAGTTCCAAAATGTGCATTAGGCGCACTAAGCCGAGTAGGTTGGATGTCAGTATGTTTCAGCGACTAAATTGCGTTAAGTGAGACAGGTGCCATGTGAGAAAGGGAGAAATAAGGCCAAGAATGAAAAGTGAGTGACTGAAATAGAGACAGCCTGTACTGTATGTGACGTGTGGTCAGGCCATGTCAGCATGTAAGGCGATGTGTCACTACGCAGATCACAGTGCAAATCTGTCTCTTACCTCTTGGATGTCACTCACGTAGAATTCGACCTGCATCTCTGACTTGGTCTGGTGGAGACAGAAACACACATCAGCTCAAACTATGCGTGTAATGCAAAGGAGCAGTGCAAAGAAAAAAGAAAGGAAAGAGAAGAAGGATACAGAAAAGCCACTCTGACCCTCTTTTGTGCTTCTTCCATCCTCGCATAGTGTTACACTTTTTGCTGCTCTTTCATCATTTGATAATTTACACTCTAGCTCCTATTTCTAAAATTGTCCTGGGTGTTTTTTTTTTGTATCTAGTGCATTTGCTTTGGCAATGTGTGAGTGTGTGGGTAGTGGTTAGTCAGTGTGTGTGTGTGTGTGTGTGTGTTTGTTTGGTGTTCGTACCTCACGGTCGAGTTGCTGTCGTAGCCAGACCACACCGGTATCTTTGTTCACAGAAAAATACCTCATGGCCTCTTCTCCTGAAACCCCGTACATGAGAGGCTCCCCCTCAGGATCAAGCGCCTTCAGCTGAGCCACAGACGTGCCTGCCGACAACAGGGTCAAAGGTCAGAGGTCACACAGGGTCAAAGGCCAAGAGTTTTGATTGATATGCGACCAGTTTAGAGGAATAGAATCCGAAAGAGAACACAATTACAGCACATTCACTAAAACACAATATGTTCATTACCATTGTTCCTATTCAGCCAAATAAAAGTGTATTGGATTAAACATTATTTTTTACATTATTAGATACATGACATGCCTGTATTTAGTGTTCATTGACCAGTAGTAAAGGAAAATTGCTTGATGATTTTGTCTCTTTTCTTGTTGATTGCTTTTCATGAACATAATATGCAGGAAAAACACTAAGAGAGCAAATCATAGACATTACCAAGAGGGCTAAAGGATGACAACGTAACACTCGCAGGGTCCTTTACATGTTAAGAATAAAGACGACATGAAAACACACCAACATTCAGCACAAACATAAATGCAGTAGCATGTGCAAGGCTTGGAGCAAATGGGTTTTAATTGGAGTTACAGAGGTTCACAGGCTCCATTCATCACACGCTGCAGAGCTCAGACAAGCTGGCTAATCAAAGTGAGAGGTGGCGTGCCATCAGATTGGCTAAATAACCGTGTGGACCGACGAGTCAAGAAGGGGAAGGCTGTGGTTGGAGCTACAGAGGACAGTATGAAGACCTGTAACCTGGAGGGGGGGCAAGGCTCATTACTGGCCATGGTAAAACTGCTTGAGCAGGGCACTGAAAGATAAGCTGTTATCAGGGTCACACAATGGACCTGAAATGTCATGAATATAATTCAATAACTGAAAATCAGAAATCATATTGTTCAGTCCCCCAAACGCTAACAGTCTCATTGCGAGCAGCCTCAGTCCCTTGTCTGTTAATGTGAAGCCTGTTGCCACAGATTTGGCAGTACTATTTGACTCAGAGCTGACCTTTGAACCACAGATCAAAAGTTCTCACACTCCGTTCTGGAAAATGCCATTTGCTTATTTTCTCCGGGCTCGACAACTGTAATAAACCAAAAGTCGGCTCTCTCGCCTCCTACTAGTTCAGAATGCAGCAGCTCGGCCTCCCGCGGATTTTTAGCAGATCATGTCACGTCACCCCCATCCTTGGTTCTCTCCACTGGCTTCCTGGTCATGTTTGAATTCATTTTAAGATTTTATTGATCACTTTTAAAGCATGTCAGGGTCTGGCTACATAGCAGCCTTAGCTGATGGCCTACTGGCTGTTTCAAGGTCCAGGCTCACATCTAAAAAAGGCTTTGCTTTTGCCATCAGGGCCCCTCAGCTTTCGACGGACCTGCCTGAGGAGATAAGACTCGCACAATCACTGGCCTCTTTGAAATCCCTTCTTGATATCTATCTTTAATGACTTGCTTTTATGTGTGTGTGTTTTTTAACTGCTAATTAAGGTTTTATTGCTTTTATTACTGTATTTGTTTTTATTAATACTGATGTTTTGCAATTTGCATTATTGTCTTCTTGTTTAAACTTTATCTTAATTCTTGTTATTTTGCCTTCTGGTTATCCTGCTTTTGCTCTGTTTGTCAAAGGCACACTTTAAATCATATATTATTATTGTTATTGTTATTATTATTACATACATCTAAGTCTAGATAAACTAGACTGAGGACATTTCCAATTAGGAGGAATCTCCAGTACTCACTTGAAGTTCTTCATTATTTCAGTCAGCTTTGCATCGTAGATTAATTGCAAAAAAAAAAAAAAAAGCAACACAAGCCAGTCAATGGGTTTAAACACTGTCCGTGGTGCTGAACGACAGTGTTGAAGAGGTGAGCTGAGAAATGTAACATGCAAACAACAGCATTATTGCACTTATTCTACTGATTCTCACCATAAATCCAAGCCTCCATAACACCTTGTTAAAAAACAAAATATATATTTTTCACAGCTCTAGGTTGAGGTTTTGGCTTTGGCACCTTCACTGTGTAATTTCTATGTGTGCGTCTGTTTTCTGTGTGGGAACTTGAAAGGCCTCGATTCTCAAGGTAAAAATGACTTGTAAAAAACACTTTCAAAGACACAGCAACACTTGTATTAAGACAAGTGTAAGAGTAAGTTTACATACAGTTGTCTGCCCTGACCTCAAGCAATGCATGCTGGGATAGACGTTCAGCTGCCCTTTAGTAAAAACAGTTTACTGAAGATGAATGCATGGGTGGGGGAGTGAATAAACAGATCATATACACATGCAACGACTGCATGTACAGCCGCTCAAACACTCTCTTCCCCACTCGCCTCCTCTCCGTCGTACAGGTACTTGGTAAAACAAAAGAAGAAGTGAAGCCAAACTAAATCAGGTCTGACACTTGTGCGCCAAACTGCTTAACACAGCGACCAATTAGGCTTCACAATCACACACCCCTCTCGTTTAATTAATACACCCCATTTTCCGATGAAAGGGTGGCAAAAATGACTAATTAATATAACGATTTATGAACCCCTCTCATTGCAGTCTAATGAGATTTATGCAAATTCAGCTGCTTTCAATATGAGTTATAATTTGGTTGAAGACGGTGCAAATTAAGCATTTTACCTCATAGTCATCAATAATAACAGTTTTTTTTTTCTTTCTTCCTCCTCCTTTCGGACCGCTCGACTGTGAAGGAATTGTCTGCTCCATGTGGGTACACATGCACTTGAGTGAAGAATAACAAATGGTCATTTGAGACTACAACTATGTATGAGAGCCACGGCCGTGTGGAAGATTAACTCCTACTCTGGAAAAGAGACGCGAACGAACACCAACCTATTAAGCATATGGGTTGGATTCTCTGCTCCGATGAAGAGCAAGTATGCAGTATGGTGAGCTGGCACATATGCTGCACCAGATGATATAGTATTTTACCTAATCAGCGTGCAGTTGTGAATTATTGTAGAAAGAGTTAGCAAAGGACTATATATATATATATATCAGTTTCCTTCAGTTCTCCACATTTTCTCAGGCTTTTATGAATCTATATTATTTTACTCATTGGTTTTTAGGCTTATCTAAGATAAGGGAAATTATTTATATATCTATAATGACTGAATGATTGTTATTCTTGTACATAATATATGTTATATTGATTTAAAAAAAAAAAAAGAAAGAAAGAAAGGTGAGCTTTTACAGAATTGAATTTCCCTTCTGGGATGAATAAAGTATTTTTCATTTTCATTCATTTCATTTTCATAATATATATATCTATAATCTCTCTCTATACAATAGACAATGGACTCAATAGACAATTCAACCAGTCATGTTGCACTTTTTTACATATACATGCATATATAATATTAATATTTTCTTTATTTACTCCATATTCTTCTGCACTGTTTGAAAATTTGATTTATTTAGCTTTTTTTTTTTTTTTACCCCTTTTTCTCTCTCTCCCTATACATATATATATATATACTCGTATATATATTTATTCGATAAATAAAGACTTAAATCTTTGAATCCTTGAACACACACACCTACACACACACACACACACACACACACACACACATATATATATATATATATGGTCTAATGGATGTGTCCTGATCAGAATAGTTTATTTTACCCCCAAAGCTGGAACAGATTGGACATTATTGTTCACAAAGATAATCTAGTAAATGTCAATGTTAACATAGGCCTCAGTCAGAACCGGCTCCCACAGCCTGTCTGCGTCCAAAATACGTGCAAAATGGTACGTGCCACGCAAGTCCGTCTTGCAAAATTTCGAGGTCGCACGTAAGGAGGATCTTTGACATGTGAAAAAGATTCTACGAATTCTCTGCAAACAGCGACGCAGCAAGTGTAACGCAAGTTACCCCCCGCCAGGAGTTTGCGAGTCAGACGTGCAAATTTTTAAGGCACCATGGGAAGAAAATATGTGGTCAAAGACGCACGTTGCAGGCAAAAAGAGAGCAAGTGCCCCTTGTGCGTTAAGCATGGCGCACACACTCACACCTCATGAACAAAATCGAACGCACGCCGGGCGCGCACCATCTCACACCAGGAGTATAAAAGGCGCGCTCAAGGCGCACACTCCCGTTTTCGCCAGTGATCGTCGATTGCATTTTTGCTTCAAACAAATACTGGTTATACCATTATAATCAGATGTACAGCGCTGGACCCTGGACAGCACAGCGCTACCTGGCGCGGCTGCATGTCTCAGTGCAAGGGCCGTTTCTTCTGTCACTGCCTCAATATGAATGAATGAAAACACTGCATCTCATCACACACATTGTTCATCATCAATGGCACAGCGGCCAAATGTTTTCACCAACACAGAATACAAGCAGCGTTTTCTTACATTCCAGACGTGATAACCCACTTAACAAATAACAAAAAACATTTGGAAAAAAACACATTGGACTGTACTGACCCATTAAAAGTACATTTTGCAGGCCTTTCGCTCAGCAAAGTCGCTGACAACATCACTCAAGTCCAAATTCCTGGCTCTGTTGTTCTCTGTTGAGAGCATCGCCAACCCACTGAGTCTTTGGTGTTCCATACTGCCCAAATATGTTTTGATAAGTTTGAGGTTAGAGTTGCAGCGGTGACAGGTATGGTAAGATACAAAGCAATGCTGTGCATCGCTGAAGGAGGCTGCCACAGAGCTGTGCTGCCAGGAGACGGGTGAGCAGGCCCACTGTCCTACTGGCATCACATGGGCCAAAGAGTGGGCCCCCTATGGCACCGGGGCCCCGGTGCATTGCACCGCCTACACCAGTGGTAGTTACGTCGTTGGGACACACACACACACACACACACACACACACACACACACACATGCAGCGTGACTCTTGGCTTTATCGCTGATGCGCTTTAGTATAATTCTATTTTAAAAAATGACTTCTTAAAAAAGAGAAGTGGAGAAGAACAAGAAAAGTATGTATTAGAACAAGATATTCTGTAGGAGAAAAAGCAAACAGCCTTTATGTTTAACTGCCATTCCTTGTGGAGTCAATTGTCATTGATTTATGTCAATGTGAGTATTCAGTGCATCTTAACTGCATGTC